CTTAACTTTTGAACTACAGGGTGCTAAAGTTTTATGAAAAAACATTTTTTTGTGATAACTTTGGTATTACCCTAGATATTTTTTCAAATTTGGTACACGCCTTCTATTCATCGAGATGCATTTTCTGATGTACAAACAATTTTATTATTTTTGCCAGTGGCGTCTGTACAGTTTTTGTATTGAATATTTTTGAAGAAAAATATGTTACGCCAGGGTATTTTCTTTTACCATTCCAAAATGTATGTAGATTACTGTAATTTCTTAATTTCAACGTTTAAAAGTTATTATCTTAAATAAATTATTGTACAAAGTTTCATAAATCTTTTTTTTTTATTCGTAAGTGGTCCAATAAGATGCAAATGAATAAATTTTATTTTTTTATGCGAAAGCCGTACGTCAAACGAAAAAAATTCAAGATACCACATTTGTTTAGAAAGGAATGAGGATTTCAAAAATGATTTTTACTTTAAGAAAAAGCAGTAGCGTAACATATTTTTCTTCAAAAATATTCAATACAAAACCTGTACAGACGCCACTGGCAAAAATAATAATATTGTTTGTACATCAGAAAATGCATCTCGATGAATAGAAGGCGTGTACCAAATTTAAAGAAATATTTAGGGTAGGTAATACCAAAGTTATCATAAAAAAAATGTTTTTTCATAAAACTTTAGCACCCTGTAGTTCAAAAGTTAAGACTTTTAGGACATATGTTTATATGAAGTTTTTTTCTTATAATGGACCCAAAAATAGCCTCCTTAAATATTAGCACGTTATTAAGAAATACCCTGTATATTGACGGTTTCGTAATAACAAGTTCTCTAATAAAGCCAATAAAATGTGAAGACTGTGTAAATAGTTTAATGTCAAATACACAGTATTCGTACAGTCAATTTTTATTAAAGATCGTGGTTGTTTGACGTATCCATCTCGAGATGTCGTAGTAATATGCCAAGAAACAAAAAAAATTAATAAAAATTTTTAATAATGATGAAAGCAGAACACCTAGGCTGCAGAAAAATAAAATTGTTTATCATGTATTAAAAAACTTTCTGAATGTGAACATATTTGAAAATTTGCATGAACATCAATTTGATAATTTGCCTAACAATTGTAATCATTTAATAGAACTTGTAAGGGCTGAATGTGAAAAGTATATCGATGTACGAATAAATCATGAAGTCAAATTATTTAATTCGGTAAAATCTACGAAAAGGCAAATATTAAATAAATTAATGTTATTTAGAGGACAATAAATATATTTAAATTATTTTTATTTAATACGACACTAAAATATACTATTTTCTGAATTACAAACTTAAAATTGAATATTTGTCATAAGATGCAATATAATGTTTAATATGTAATAAAAATGTTACTTAATCCGGATCTGCTTAAAGATGCGCGCGATGAGATTGCCTTCCACACTCCACTTCCCCGGATTTGGCATTCACTGGTACCCGTGCATTGGAATTAGATACGGCCAGTCTAGGTGGTCTGTGGTTACTAATGTATAAACAGAATTTTATATTTAATGTAGGTCTGAGTACTAATATCCGGTGAACAGCTTGTCTACGTCACCAATCAGCCATAAAAGCCGCGCTCCGTATATGAAAGGCAGTAGTGTTGTACGGCAATTTTCCTACTAAGTCCTCTTCCCCCCTTGGTATCAGCAATTTTCCTACTAAGGATCCTCCCTCCTTACCTTTTCTTCTGGAAAAGACCGCCGGCAATTTTCCCTCCTGTTCTTGGAGCGCTTCTTACCCTTCCGTCTGGGAACAGAGCGTCTCGGCAATTTTTCCGCCTGTTCCTGGAACCCTTTCCTGAAACTCCGAGGTGAGCCTCGGCGCCCTTTCCCTCCTGGAGTTCCTCACTCGTCAGTCCTCCGTCAATCCGAGTTGAAAGCCGAATCAGAGAAAAGCTTAGTTTTCCGTTTTCCGATAATTACCGAATATTAGTACGGACCGTCAGCGACTTGTAAGTGGTGAATTTTATGTATTGTAAATAAATGGAAGTAAACCTATTGGAAAAAATGTTTTTTCTGATCAAGATTCCTGGTTTATACTTTTCTCCACTGCTGTTACCTGAACGGCGACTTTTGGTGTCACATCTGGGTTCACACATAGAAAGTTCGTCACAATACTTTATTAGTTAATGTCTGTTTTCTATTATTATTATGATTATTGTGAGCATTACGATAATTTGTAATAGCTCTTGTAAAACTAGCTTTAGTAAATAAAATATTATTAGTAAATTCATTATCCTCATCTTATTTTTCCCCCAATGCTATTACACAGTCGAAAAAAATATTATAGTGAAAAATTATACCTATACTTGTTCTAAACAATCGTTACAATCCGTAATACCATAATTACTAATGACATTTATTTGAAGCGTGGCAACTTGATCAATTACAGAAAGAATTATATTAAAAGTTTGATGTTTAATAAAACTTTAATAGCGATTTACAAACGGTTACATTTATGAGCTTGAATAAAAAGTACATGTTTTTTTCTGATATCTTTTCTCTATTCAGCTATGTTCAAATTTCTGTGATGTCTAGCAAAGGAAAAAAGTTATGAACAAAACAAATGTTGAGTTCTAGGTAAAGTGCCTTCTAGCGGTGCANTGTTTTTTTCTGATATCTTTTCTCTATTCAGCTATGTTCAAATTTCTGTGATGTCTAGCAAAGGAAAAAAGTTATGAACAAAACAAATGTTGAGTTCTAGGTAAAGTGCCTTCTAGCGGTGCATAATTAAAGTTTTCTCTGACTGGTCCAATAGAGCTCATCTACTTTGTGGGTATTCCAAGTGAGAGACTAATTGAGCTTGAATTAAATAAGTTATTTAAAAAGAAAAATAAAAAAATGTAGTTTGACAAGCTGTAACTTGTAAACAATTGACAATTCGAAAAAAAATTCATGCTATTACATATATTAATCCCTAGAATCACCTCCCGGAGTTTCCTGAAGGACTTTTAGAACACTTTGTATATTAAGTAATTCCATTTTAAACACGTATAAATAAGCGTGTATCTATTTTAAGCTTGTTTGAATAGCAGAGTATTTTTATTCATGATAAACGAACTTATTTCTTTTCTCATTCAAGAAAAATACAAACATTTTGCTCAGTCCTTCAGCTCCAGATAAAGGAAAATAACCGTTAAAAATATCAGGAAAACATATTTCTGATATCTTTTCTCTCTTCAGCTATGTTCAAATTTCTGTGATGTCTAGCAAGGGAAAAAAGTTATGAACAAAACAAATGTTGAGTTCTAGGTAAAGTGCCTTCTAGCGGTGCATAATTAAAGTTTTCTCTGACTGGTCCAATAGAGCTTCATCTATTTAGTGGGTATGCCAAGTGAGAGACTAATTGAGCTTGAATTAAATAAGTTATTTAAAAAGAAAAATAAAAAAATGTACTTTGACAAGCTGTAACTTGTAAACAATTGACAATTCGAAAAAAAATTCATGCTATTACATATTTTAATCCCTAGAATCACCTCCCGGAGTTTCCTGAAGGACTTTTAAAACACCTTGTATATTAAGTAATTCCATTTTAAACACGTATAAATAAGCGTGTATCTATTTTAAGATTGTTTGAATAGCAGAGTATTTTTATTCATGATACACGAACTTATTTCTTTTCTCATTCAAGAAAAATACAAATATTTTGCTCAGTCCTTCAGCTCCAGATAAAGGAAAGTAACCGTTAAAAACATCAGGAAAACATTTCTGTGTGCAAACATCGTATTAATAACCTAAAGTAATGACGTGGCCTAAAAATGTGCTCTCAAGAACATTAAAAGGCGTTGAATTAATTAATAAAAATGAGCTAACATATTACAGATGTTTTATAATAACCATAATCAAAAATATAAAGAGAATTTAGTTACACTGCAAAATTATGAGATGTCTACCTTGCTATCAAATTTTTGTCCATGTAATCCATGTAAGACAAAAATGTTTATGGTTCAGAAAAACTACAAGGAATAATATATAATTTGTATAAAATTAACATGCCACATTTAAAGCCCTTCCTTTATCTAAATAAAAAAAATAAAAAGAATACTTATAAGTAGTTGTAATGAACCTTTTTTTTTATTTTCGGGATTTCATTTATATTTTAGTAATGAACTTATTTTATTTTGCTCCCGCTGTATTATAATTGTTTGGCGCACCGCGATTTTGCACACGGCCCACGAAGTCAACGGCTGAAGTTGCACACGGCACTACCAGCCGTTCTGTATAAAAGCAACGGAGTCACCTACACCAGGGAGTGCTTAGTAGGTCTTTCCACGGCACTCAACCCTCCTCTGGGTGTCCTAACCAGAGCGTTTAGCAGGTCTCTTCCGCGGCGCTCAAGGTAAGGTACACACCTGGACTCCGATTTCGGGTACTTAGCAGGTCTTTCCGCGGTACCTGACGTCTACCTCGCGGCCGACTCCGGGTGTTTAGCAGGTCTTTCCGCGACACTCGGCGTTGTCACCGTCAGGACATCCGTATTGCCTTCGCGACAATAGGTATCCCGATGTTTTTGTTATTTATATGGGTAGGGTATTATTGTTAATATTATATGTGTTTATAGACTGCAATCTATTTTGGAAAATAAAAGTTTTATTGATACCAAGTCTTGTAATATTCCCGAACCTTGGAAAACACTTCTCCACCGAGTGAACCGGACTGTGACTGTACTAGTTCGGCGTCTGAGACCGAACCTCGAAAGTACATCACATCACTGTTATTTGTTACAGATAATACTAGTCTGGTGTTAATTATTTTAACGCATCCAGGTGCTGTTGTAAAATGCAATGTAAAAAGGAAGAAAAAAGTATTTAATAGTGCTTTGTTCTGAAATAATATATTTAATTAAAAAAAAAGTCAAAGGCTTTGAAATCTTTAATAACAATGAGATATAACAAACATAATAGAAATCAGCTTAATTTATTGAAAAAACTAATACATTTCTGGATTATTTTAAAATAATCTTAATCCAAAAACGATGAAGAAAAACCAGTTACGTTGAAAAAATCTGAAATATCCACCTTACAGGCTCGATTATTGTCCATGTAACTACCACTAAAATTGACAAACTATCACGTGTATCATAAACATGTTTATAACTCAAAAAAAATATAAGGAATAGTTCATAATTTGAATAGAATTGACTAACAAGTTAAAAACAGATGATATAAATAGTGATTAAAGAGCTTGAAGTATTTTTTTTAATTTCATCGAATATGATGAAACCTAAATTTGATGTTAGTTAAATTTAAAAGGTACAAAAGTGTTGTCATCTGTAAAGTATTAAGATACAGGGTTACAAAAAAGTAAAAAAAGGAATTTAATTAGTTTTTTATTGAAATAATATTTTTATTAAAAAATAGCACTGACTACAAAGAAATAATAAGCAACATAAGTAAATAACTAATTATTACAATAACTTCAATATAAATTAGAAATCCAAAAGAAAAATATAAAAGAAATTGACAAAATAAATGTAAATAGATTTTGAAATATAGAGCTTATAAATGGCAATTAGTGAATGTAAAAGAGTACCTAATTATGAATTCCACATAAAGCCCGTTGATTATATTCAACTATTGTTTTCTCTGTTTCTTGTTTAATACTTTGTGTAGATACATTCAATTTTGGGACTCATGGTTTTTCAATTGTTATATAAAGGAACTTAATATCATATGATAAAATTATTTTAAAACTTTTTTAATTGATGCCAACCAGCACTGATATTTATTTTTTCAACTCCTTGAAAAGTGTATTGAAACATGCCAATTATAAATACCAATTCTAATATGTTATCTTCGACATCAATGTATATGTTAGAATAATTATTGACACCATCAGACGTGATCATATTTAACCCAACTCATTTGCGATAGAACAAACAAAATTAAAACAAATGAAGCTATAAATGTTTTAGTTGTCACTTGGTAAGAATTTGATCTGCTAACTATAGATACATGCTGCAAAAGTACGTACGACACTAAATTTCCGATTACAAGTAACTATTAAGGGTTAGACAAATAATTTATAACTTCCCCTTATAATTTTAACTACTTAAAAGTTGATTTGAATGAAATGTTACAGGTGAGAGCTGGAGAATGGAACACCAAGTCCAAAGAAGAACCTTTTCCCCACCAAGACCGAAGCGTCCTGGAGGCCCTCCTCCATCCAAATTTTCACTCAGGATCTCTAAGGAATGATATTGCTCTTTTATTTCTCACAGATCCCTTGATTTTTCATGTTAATATTGGACTCATCTGCTTACCTCCTCAACATTTACAACTAGAGGAAGCCGTATGCACAGTAGGGGGCTGGGGGAAAGACCATTTAAAGAAAGGAAAATACTCTGCAATTCTGAAGAAAGTGAATCTTCCCTTGGTTTCAAAAGAAAAGTGTGTGGCAGCTTTAAGGAAGACAAGATTAGGGGCATTCTACAAGTTTCACAAGAGTTTCATATGTGCAGGTGGTGAGAGCAACAAAGACACTTGTAAGGGTGACGGAGGAAGTCCTTTAGTGTGTCTCATACCAGATGGCAAGGATAGATTTTTTCAAGCAGGAATTGTTTCTTGGGGGATTGGTTGTGGTGAGAATGACGTACCTGGAGTGTATGCTAACGTTGCTCTTTTTAGCGAGTGGATTGATGATGAGCTCAATGTTAGGAACTTTGATAACAGTTTTTACAAATATTAACAACAAAGGAGTAGTGATAATAATGATTAACAATTATAGACGTTTCAATTTTAAGTAGTTACTTTTTCAATGAGACGTACTTATCAAATTGACATTGTTTCTGTAAACTAAGTATTAATATTTATATTAAAGATGATTTGTTTGTTACTGTTTGTGATATTTTTTAAAATTGTCCTTTTGTTAAATTGGATACTTTCTCATAACGAAACGAAAAAAATGTAATTTTTAAAGATTGAAATTAAAAGAAATATTTTTGTCTTTAACTCTGAAACCAAGTAATAAATTATCTTTAAAAGTGACGTGAAATACGATACTGTGAATACTGATATCAGCAAAATTTTCAAAGTAAGAATATTGCGTTAGTAACCAAAATTACATTCATTATTTTCATTGAATTATACAACTAATCACTAAACAAAAAAGTCTTAATTTTCAATAAGAAAATGTAAAGTTTTGCTTGAAACTAATAGGTATCTTTAATTTTTTTTGGAAAGTATTAAATGTTATTGTTAGATGTTAAACAGGGTATCCACTATCGATATCTAGGAACGTCCGATAAATCTGAAAATTTGGCAACCTAGCAAAGGCAGTAGGGCCAATGGAGATAAAATATTTAGAATTTTATGGCACTTCCGGTGGTACCGGAAGTCGACATTAACTTTCTTATTTTAAGTGGGACACCTTATAGATTATTGCATTTTCGGATTCTACAGAGTGGGCCACCAGTAACGCCTCGGTCGCTAGTGACCAAACGGCAAATGTTACAGAAATCTGTTTAGGTGGGTATGTGTAGGTTGATTATGGCTACATTATCAAAGTTATGTTTTTTTAAATAGAACACCCTGTATTTTACTGCATTTTTGAAAGCACCGTAAAAAAATAGGTGAACTTTATTAAAGGTTCTGCATACCTAGGACTTAGAGTTTGTGAGACATTTCAATTTATGTGAAAATGCAGGCATAGCGTAGAAATTTAATATTAGCAATAAAAAAATAATTTTAAGGAAGCAGCTTTGGAGGGTCTATTTTAGATCCTTGAAGTTATAAATTGTTATATTTGTCGTCACTTAGTATTATACAGGGTGTCCAAAAAACTGCTGAATACTTCTTTCAACTTTAAATAGCAATAACTTGGTTATTTTAAATGGAACACCCAGTATATTTTTACTTTGGGAGTTGGGAAATTTAAAACTATTTCAAACTGTGTATAGGTTCCCGATACCTAACTCTAACGGCATTGGAGATATTTGTGCCGTTTTGTTTTTTATCGATTTTTTTTGTAAGCTGCTTCCACGTGTCTCTATCGAGGTCTTTACTGAATTGGTTTGGGATCTTCTTGATGACGTCTCTTTAAATATAAGGAGAAAATTGTGAATGCAAATAGATAGCGCACCTGCACATTTTTCATATTCAGTGAGAAATTATGTAAATCGATAATTAAGTAATAAATGAGTAGGTAAGAATGGTCCATGTCAGTGGCTACCACATGTGTCCAAACCTCACGTAATGGACTTCTTTGTTTCGGCCTGTATAAAAATATATCTTGTACACAGTGTTTCACCTACTACTTGCGATGATATGAAGGAAAGGATTAGATATGCATTTGCCACAATCACCCCAAATATTCTAAGGAATGTGAGAATATCATTTGAAGATAGAATAAGATGCTGTATTCAAGAGAATGGTTATCAATTCGAACATCTATTAAAATTTTTCTTTGTTTCTTCTAAAAGTAAAATTATCTTTAATACATATTTTTCATGTTCATAAATAATTCAGTTACTTACTACAAACATATTTATACAAAATTAATAACTTTTTATAATTCTTCGGCTTATAAAATAATATTTTTATTAGAAAACCTTTTTGATTATTTTCATGATAATGATAAAAGGTACTTTTACTTTTAGAAAGAACAAAGAAAAATTTTAATTGATGTTCGAATTGATAACCATTCTCCTGAATACAGCATCTTATTCTATCTTCAAATGATATTCTCACGCAAATGCATATCTAATCCTTCCCTCCAATATCATCGCAAGTAATAGGTGGAACATTGTATACAAGATTTTTTATATAGCTCGCAACAAAGAAGTCCATTACGGTGAGGTCTGGACACCTACGTGGCCACTGACATGCACCATTCCTACTTATCCATTTATTACTAAATTTTCGATTTAAATAATTTCTCACTGAATATGAAAAATTTGCAGGTGCGCCATCTAATTGCATCCTCATTTTTCTCAATATATTTAAAGAGACGTCATCAAGAAGAACCCAAACCAATTCAGTAAAGACCTCGATAAAGACACGTGGATACATCTTACAAAAAAAATCGATAAAAAACGAAACGGCACAAATATCTCCAATACCGTTAGAGATAGGTATAGGGAACCTATACACAGTTTGAAAGAGTTTTAAATTTCCCAACTCCCAAAGTAAAAATATACTGGGTGTTCCATTTAAAATAACCAAGTTATTGCTGTTTAAAGTTGAGAGAAGTATTCAGCAGTTTTTTGAACACCCTGTATAATACTAAGTGACGACAAATATAACAATTTATAACTTCAAGGATCTAAAATAGACCCTCCAAAGCTGCTTCCTTAAAATTATTTTTTTATTGCTAATATTAAATTTCTACGCTATGCTTGCATTTTCACTAAAATTGAAATATCTCACAAACTATAAGTCCTAGGTATGCAGAACCTTTAATAAAGTTCACCTATTTTTTTACGGTGCTTTCAAAAATGTAGTAAAATACAGGGTGTTCCATTTAAAAAAACATAACTTTGATATGGTACGCTTTTCCTGGACACCCTGTATATCTCAAAATATTTTTAAAATGTAGCCGTAATCAACCTACACATATCCAACTAAACAGGTTTCTGTAACATTTGCCGTTTGGTCACTAGCGACCGAGGCGTTACAGGTGGCCCACCCTGTATGTGAAATTTGAGGGTCACTTTATTAAATATTCTAGGAGATATAGATTTTAAGATATTAATTTTTAAAGGAAAAAATTGACAGATACAAAGGTCCACGGAGATGCTAGTAAGTCTTTTCAGGAGCCTGATAATGTGACAAAGTAATTTCAAGAACATGTGAAGAATTTGCTGCTCGATATCCAGAAAAAAGAAGATCTCCACCAAATACAGTAAGACGACTAGTGCCTTTATTATTCCTTACTCTTAAATGGGTTTATATTAGTTTTAGTATTAGTAAGGAGTTATGACTGAAAATATACCAAAAGAACCTAGGTGCTATAACTATTTCCGTGTTTTCAGCGTAAACAATTGGTATTTTTTAATTATATCTAAATTTTACACAGCGTAAGCTTTTAATATTGTCCACAAATTAATATATTTCGTGAAGGTTTTCGTTTCTGGATATCGAGCAGCAGATTCTCTACATGTTCTTAAAATTACTTTGTCACATTTTCCATAAATAACAAATTAAAATAATCCTCATTCGTATCAAATCAAATGCCTGGGCATCGTTTAAATCCCAGATAATTTTATTTAAATTTTCGGCAAAAACTATTACAGACACAACAATAATTTAATAACAAACTTGACAAATGTCAGGTTATTTTAATTGTTTTTGGAGTATTTCTGGTCATGGCCAAATTGACAACAGATCTGATGACTGAAACTGTTCAAAAATAGAAAATTGCAAATATCTCTAAAAGTAGTAACGGCAACCCAAACAATGCTTATATGGTCTGAAACGAAATTTCTATCTGCATATGACAGAGTAAAAAAATACAGGGTGTTCCATTTATGTTAATCAAGTTATAGCTGTTTGAAGTTATCAAAATGTAATAGCAAAAATGCCCTCTACAGGTACCAAAAATTCACTTGATATAACGCTCCTGAAAAGAATTACTAGCATATCTGCGGACCCATGCATCTCTAAAATTTTTTCAGTGAAAATTAAATCTTAAAAATCTATAACTCTAACTAGGGATAGGGAATATTTAATAAAGTGACCCTCAAATTTCACGTAGAATCCGAAAATACAGTAATATATAGGGTGCCCCATCTAAAATAAGACAGTTAATGTTGATTTCCGATATAACCCTGTATACAGGGTAGGTCACCAGTAACGCCTCGGTGGCTAGGGACCAAACGGCAAATGATATAGAAACATGTTTTGGGTGGGTATGTGTAGGTTGATTACGGCAACATTTTAAAAATATTTTGAAATATACAGGGTGTCCACGAAAAGCGTACCATTTCAAAGTTATGTATTTTTAAATAGAACACCCTATATTTTACTGCATTTCTGAAAGCACCGTAAAAAAATAGGTGAACTTTATTAAGGGTTCTGCATACCTAGGACTTATTGTTTGTGAGATATTTATATTTAGTGAAAATACAGGCTTAGAATAGAAATTTAATATTAGCAATAAAAAAATAATTTTAAGGAAGCAGCTTTGGAGAGTGTCTTCACGATCCTTGAAGTTATAAATTATTATATTTGTAGTCACTTAGTATTGTAGAGGGTGTTCAAAAAACTGCTGAATATTTCTCTCAACTTTAAACAGCAATAACTTGGTTATTTTAAATGGGACACCCAGTATATTTTTACTTTGGAAGTTACGAAGTTTAAAACTCTTTCGAACTGTGTATAGGTTCCGTATCGATTTTGTTTTGTAAGAAGTATCCACGTGTCTTTATTGAGGTCTTTATTGAATTGGTAAAGCGTGAATCATGACAATATTCAAGAAAGTTTTCTAAAAAGAAATATTACTTTATAAGCAGAATAATTATAAAAAGTTATTAACATAACTGAATTAAATTAATTAGGAACATGAAAAATATTTATTAAAGGTATTTACTTTTAGAAGAAACAAAGAAAAAGTTTAATTGATGATCGAACCATTCTCTTGAATACATCATCTTATTCTATCTTCAAATGATATTCTCACATTCCTTAGAATATTTGGGGTGATTGTGGCAAATGCATATCTAATCCTTTCCTTCATAACATCGCAAGTAGTAGGTGGAACACTGTGTACAAGATA